AGTGTCAGTCTTCAGCCACTAAGCCGAAAAGATCTGGGAAGGAGTCAGTCAGAGACCCTTGGGCCAGAGTTCCAGGGGCTCTGGGAGTGGCTGCTGGGCGAGTTGGACAGTCCAGTTTCCAGTGGGGTCCTGCACAGATGGGACATGGCTTGGGGGGAATCATGGGCTGCGGGCATTCCTTGGCCCAGTGGCCAGATTTCCAGTACTTGAAGCAAGATCCTGTGGGAGGAGGTCCTGGAGGAACACCTGGCTGCTGCGGTTTAGACTTTTTGAAGTTCTTGTGTGCTGAAGAGTGGTTGGGGTTTGTCTCACAGTGGAGGCAAGTAATTTCAACTCTGAAATACGTTGCTGCTTGACTGCCTCTTCTCTATTATTGTATACCTTGAAGGCGAGTTTAATTCAGTCCTGTTGTGGGGTATGAGGGCTGGAATCCTTTTGGAGCTTTTTCTAATGTTGGGAGCAGATTGGGTAATAAAATGCACATTGAGAATAAGATGGCCTTCTGGCCCCTCTGGGTCTAGGGCGGTAAAGCGTCTAAGGGTTGTTGCCAAACGCGCGATGGACTGGGCTGGGTTTTTGTATTTGATGAAAAAGAGCCTAAATGCTAACTGATTTGGAAGAGGTCGGCTTAAAAAAAAAAAAAAAAAAAAAAAAAAAGCATTAACCTTGACTATGCCTTCAGCTCCAGCCACCTCTCTAAGAAGAAATTGTTGGGCACGTGGGGGAGGGCTAGTCACAGAAAGAAACTGTAAGCTGGACCAGGTGTGAGGAGGGGAGGTGATAGAAGGATTATAGGGTGGGGGAGTGGAGACTGAGGAAGAATTGGGACCTGGCTTGGCCTGGCTTGAGGAGGAGTGGAGAGGTTAGATGGGTCCATAGAAAAGGAGGATTCAAAGGACTCAGAGCTTGGGGTGGAGACTGAAGGAACAGACAGGAGAGAAAGAAGAAAGATTTGGGACGACTGGCATTGGGAGCAGAGTAGGGAGAGAAAGATGTGTAAAGAATGCCTGGATATCAGGCACTTCAGACGATTTGCCCATTTTTCGACAAAAATTATCTGGATCTTGTAGGATGGAGAAATCAAAGTGCCATTTTCTGGCCATTTAGAACCATTGTCGAGGTTGTATTGGGGCCAAACGGTGTTGCAGAATAAAATAAGACCTTAGGTTTTAGGTCAGGCGAGAGTTGAAGAGGTTTTAAGTTTTTTAGAACACAGGCTAAAGGAGAAGAAGGAGGAATGGAGAGTGGAAGGTTGCCCATAGTAAAAAGGTAAGTTTAGAAAAAAGAGAGGGTAGAGACACGGAGAGAGGGCAGGTGGTACTTGCTACCAAGGTGAAGGGTCAAGGCAGGCATCCCCACAGTGATCAGACACCTCTAGAATGTAGGTGAATAATCAGGCAGGCATCCCTGCAGTGATTAGACACCAAGGGAAGACTGTCTTCCCGAGTCCATGACCGGCACCAGAGTTTTGAGTTCACAGATAAAATGCGTCTCCTCTGTCTCTACCAGAAAGGGAAAGGAACCGAAATTAAGGAAGGGAGAGAGTGAAGGGTGGAGGGATAGCGAGAGAGGCTGCAGAAGAGAATAAAAAGAGGTCGCTTACCCGATTGAAAATTGGTGAGATGTTCCTTGGGCTGGTCTGAGGACCTGAGGTTGTAGGTGCATCTCCTGAAGGAGAGAGGGTGAGAACAGGGGACCAGTCTCCAGAAGGAGTCCCCCTGTCCCAGGTCTTTGGCACCAAATGTTACACGAGTCTGTGTGAAGAGACCACCAAACAGGTTTTGTGTGAGCAATAAAGCTTTTTAATCACCCGGGTGCAGGCAGGCTGAGTCCGAAAAAGAAGTCAGCAAAGGGAGAATAGGGGTGGAGCAGTTTTATAGGATTTGGGTAGGTAGTGGAAAAGTACACTTAAAGGTGGTTAGCTCTTTCAGGCAGGCGTGGAGGTCACAAGGTGCAGGGTGGGGAGATCATGAGACTCATTGTCCTGGGAAGGAATGTCACAAGGTCGATTGATCAGTTAGGGTGGGGCAGGAACAAATCACAATGGAGAAATGTCATCTGTTAAGGCAGGAACGGGCTATTTTCACTTCTTTTGTGGTTCTTCAGTTGCTTCAGGCCATCTGGATGTATACCTGCAGGTCACAGGGGATATGATGGCTTAGCTTGGGCTCAAGAGGCCTGACAGTCTTAATATACTATCTAGTAATCAAATATTTTTACTGATGTGTAAACTAAGTTATTGACTTGAAAACTTTTATCCATATAAAAACTTGTATGTGAATGTTTATAGCAGTTTTATTCATAATTGCTAAAATTATGGATGGAAGCAACCAAGATGTCCTTCAATACATGAATGGACAAACTGTGGCATATCAACACAATGGAATATTATTCAACAATACAAGAAAATGAACTATCAAGCCACAAAAAGATATGGATGAATCTTAAGTACATATTGCTAAGTGAAAGAAGCCAGTATGATAAGGCTACACATTATATGATTCAAATTCAATGACATTCAGAAAAAGGCAAAACTATAGAGATAATAGAAAGATTAGTGGTTTCCAGGGGCTTAGGGAAAGGGGAAGAGGATTGAATAAGTGAAGCACAGGGGATTATTTATGACAGTGAAGCTATTCTATATAATACTGTAATCATGGTTACATAATTTTATGCATTTGTCAAAACCTATAGAACTTTGGAACACAGAGTGAACTTTAATGTATGTGAGACTTTAACAAATCATTTAGGGGATTGGAGGTTTCCAGGATGAAATGCAAAATTATGACAAAATAAGCTAACTGTATTACAAATGTATTAAAACAACCTCACTGAGGAGTGTGAAGGAAAAATGGTGGTGACCTAAACAACTTTAGAAATGAATGGAGACTGTGAGAGTAAAGGCTATAAAGGAGTCTATAACATAAGCATGCTACTCTAGCTGATAAAGTTGTTTCTGTGGAAGTACAAGTTAGCAATTCTGACTCTGCTATACATGCATATGAGAATTGAGCAATTAAGTAAATGGATGGATAATGGTGAGAGCCAAGTTTCTCACTGTTGGTGTGGGAGGTTACAGATAAGCAAAATGAGGAGGCTGGGATCATCTATGAGGTAATGGATAATAGTTGGAGACATCATATCAACTCCTATTAGCTTATTATAGATATTGATGGTTACATATAGAAATATTTATAGATATGTGTATTTATATCGATATGGGTTAATATATGCACACGTATTTCCTTGCTCTGTCAGTTGAGAAGGTCTAGAGTTAATGACACCCCAGTAGCAATGAGTATACCTAGTACCAAGCTCTTGGTTTCTAATACTATTTTCCAACTAAATGAACCACAGCTTGGATAACTGGCTGATTCTAGGATGACAGAAGAAAATATAGAAGGTGTGCATGGAGCATCTTGTATGCCAAAAAGTAAGGAAGTTCCAGGAAAAAAAAAAAAAAAAAACCCTCACACACATGCACACACACAAAACAAAGGGGATATGTCAAAGGGTCATAGAGCCAACTAAAAGAACTACCAGTAGCCAAAGTTGGAACATTTGAGCAACAAAATAAATACAGTACTTTAGTATTGAACTGATACCCAAAATGTGAAATAAATATATATACATCCATGCTGATGTGAGTACATTATTGAATAAATAAATAAATGAAGACTAGGCAAATTTCCTGTGCTAAATACTTCTAATTTATGTGGATATTCTGCTCTCAAGGAAGTAGAACATAACTCCCCATTCCTTAAGTGTGGGTTAAACATATTTGCTTTATTCCAAAAAGTACAATATGGAAAGGTGGAAAAAGAGTAACTTTATACTAAAGAAACCTGACATACATTACTTTAGCCAGGTGATCAAAGTTAACATCAATGTCATGTTGACAGTATGTGCCCTTGATCAGATGTGATGAGAATGACACTTTACTTCTATGGTATTCTTCCCAAAAGCACATAATCACAGTCTAATAATGAGAAAAACATCAGCCAAACCCCAACTGAGGGACATTCAATAAAATATCTGACCAGTATTCCTCAAAAAAAAGTCAAGGTCATCAGACACAAGGAAAATCTGAGAACTGTTACAGTTAAGAAGAACCTAAAACATCATGATAACCAAATGTACTGGGGTTTTCCAGATGAAATCTTGGAAAAGGAAAAAGGATATTACGGAAAATCTAAGGACACATGAATAAATTACAGACTAGTTAATGATAATGTATCAGTATTGGCTCATTAATTGCAGGAAATGTACCATGCTCATGTAAGATGTTATTAGTAGGGGAAATTGGATGTGGCATATATGGGAACTTCCTTATTACCTTTTCAATTTTTCTGTAAACTTAAAACTGTTCTAAAATAAAGCATTTATTTTTTTTAAAATTACAATGCCTAGGTATCACCCCTGAGATACTGATTTAGTTGATCTGAGGTGTGGCCTGACCCTTGGGACTTTTAAACACCTCCCAGGTGTTTCTAATTTGTCTCCGGCAAACCACTATTCCTTCCTTCTGCTCTTTTGTTTAATTATAATAAATGCTCTGACCTTATCCCTGATAAAAATAGCAGTGTGCCTTAATGATTTTGGTTGTTTGAATGCAGCAGTTCTTTAAATGTACAGCCAGTGATATGGAACTTAGTGATATTTCCCATTAAATAGAAAATCTTGTCCAGGAAGCTTAAAATGCCATAAAGAGTTTAGGTAAAGAGACGGTGAAGGGCAGATTATGCTAAATGTATTGTCGGTTTAAATCTGTACGTGGTGGGAATGCCTTTATTTTCTCCCTGCCATGCTATTCCATATGTATTTGGAGATGAGACGTCTCCTAAATTTTAGGTGCAGACGGTTTAGCTTTAATTAGGTAGTAGATTTATTCTTCAGGGTTTGATTGTGACAAATGAGATAAAAGCATTACCTGCTGGCAAATGAAGCTTAAAGGTTCAGGAACCACAAACTGAACCGAGCTGTCTATTTTTCTCCTGCAGGGAAGCTGGTCAGCCTGGGCCCTTGGAGATTGTATCTGGTGCTGAAGAGGACCGGCTCCCACAGTCAGTGAGGAAGGAATTTTACTGACCCAGCACCCAGATGAACTTTGGTGAGGAGAGGAGGTGAGGAGGTCAAGGAGCCTTGCTTTTTCTTTTTTTTTTAATTTTTAAATTTTTTATTTTTTTCCACCACACCCGGTTTTTATTATTATATTATTTTGTTGAGACACAGTCTCACTCTGTCACCCAGGCTGAAGTGCAGTGGCGCGATCTCAGCTCACTGCAATCTCTGCCTCCCAGGTTCAAGCAATTCTCATGCCTCAATCTCCCAAGCAGCTGGGATTACAGGCACCTGTCACAAAGCCCAGCTAATTTATGTATTTTTTTTAGTAGAGACGGGGTTTCACTATGCTGGCCAGGCTGGTCTCAAACTCCTGACCTCAGGTGATCCACCTGCTTCGGGCTCCCAAAGTGCTGGGATTACAGGCGTGAGCCACTACACCTGACCCTGGCTAATTACTTTCAATTTTTGTAGAGATGGGGTCTTACTATATTGTCCAGGCTGGTCTTGAACTCTTGGCCTCAAATGATTCTCCTGCCTCGGCCTCCAAAAGTTCTGGGATTACAGGCATGAGCCACCTCGCTCGGCCTCTCCCTGAGTAACCTCAGTCACTGGTTTCACGCTCACAGTATTAGTGTACCAAGTCGTTGACGCCAGGCATAGCGTCCGCACTCATCACTGCAGTCCTGGCATACAGCAAGGGCTGAACACAGAACGAACGCAGTGGAGCTGGGAGAATACCTGAGGTTTGAGAGGAACCTAAGAACCTCTATCACATGACAGTTGGGTAAAGTGAGGCCCGGAGAGAGAGGCTTCAATGGCTCACCCAGCCCACGTGGGCCTGGATCCACGGCGTGAAGCTGTGCACGTGCTCCATGCTGAATCCGGCCAGGGTGCCCCCCAGCCCGGCCATGCGCCGGCTTAGCTCCATGGCCAGGGGGGTTCCGGGGAAGGAGGCGGGGGCCCGGGGCATGCTCGGCTTGGCGAGAGTTGTCCTCCCAGCTACAGAACAGCTCCATCAGGCGGGCGAAAGAGCCGGAGGACAGGCGGACCAGCTTGCCACGCAGGGCGGGGTCCGAGGCCAGCTTCTGGTTAATGACTTCTGCCTCCTCCTCCAGCAGGGCCACCAGCCTCCGCGGTATGGCCTCCTTCTCTGTGGGTGGGGGACCCCGTAATTCTGGACTAGGCGGAGATTTCAGTTGCTCTTGGACCAGCTGTTCCAGCCGCTGAGCCACCAAGGCATAGAAGTCTGGAGTAGCTGGGCCAGGCTCTGAACCATAGCAGGGGCGGATGGGCAGAGAGCAAGGCCGAGGGGACTCAGAGGGTGCTGCTCCTCGCCCCAGGGAGCAGGGAAGACATCTTCGAAGACGGCTCAGGAAGTCTGTTGGCTCTTCTTGGGCAGGGCTGAGTGGACTTGGAACAGGAGACCCGGCAGCCTCACCACGCCTAAGGAAGGCAGCTAGGACCCTCAGCGTGTCTTCCCGGAGCCCCAGCTCTTCAAAGCCTGATCCGGGGCCTCACCGCCGCCTCCTCCACTCAACCTGCCACCGCCTCCACTCGTACAAACTTTATTAGTTCAACTTTCCCGCGCCTGCGGACTGGGCCCGGTCGGTAACCGGCCCAACGAAGAAAGGGAGCCTTGCTTTTTCACTTGCAATTATGGCACTTCCTTTGGAAATGGTAAGTCTATATTTTTAGACTTACATTTCTAGCATAAATTCCTAACAGGCCAGGAAGATGGCTTCATGCACGTTAAGACATGCAAAAGATTTATTTTTCCTATGATTTTTCTTCCTCAAATAGTCATTGGTAGGAATTCTTGCTTTTCGTTTACACCTGTAAGAATATTAACAGACCAGAAAACATGTGTTCATTGGCTCTTACACTATGTTAGGCACTGAAGCAGATAATTTAAAGGTTAAAAATATATAATAGTGGCTTTTTATTCATTCATCCAAGCAATATTTACTTGAATGCATATCATGTACCAGGCATCTGCTAGGGACTGGATATTAAAAAAAAAATAAAACAAAATAACAGCAAAAAAAAAAAAACCTAAGCTAGATTGAGTCTCCTTTCTTAAGTTGTCTCCAGTCTAAAACCTTACTGTCTAAGTCAACAGTTCTCAATCCAGGGTGATTTTGCCCCCCAGAGGACATCTGACAGCGTCTGAGGAAATATTCAGTTACCACTGCTAGGAGGAATGGGGGATGCTATGGAATCTAATGGGTAGAAGCCAGCAATGCTGCTCAATATCTAATAAAATACAATTCAGCCCCCAACAACAAAGAAATTATCAGACCCAAATGTCGGTAGTGTCGAGGTTGAGAAATCTGGCAAACCCACTGGGCTCTTCCTTACACAGAGAGCACTTTCTCCATGTGTGAATTAAACAAAGCAAGCTTTAAAGCCACCTCCTGCCCTCCCTCTATTAGGTGGGTTTGGAATATTGAAGGGTCCCTCCCTAGCTGAGGGGAGAATACATGTTATCCCCACTCCCCACCATCACTTAGGTGGGGTGGCACTGTTCAGCAGAGGGTCAGCGATTCTATTGTCAGCCCAGACCAGAGACATGTCCTGTTAAATAAGTCTGCCCGAGAGAGAGGACGTGAGACTCTTCCTCTCTATTGGAAGCAGCCAAACTTCTATAGTCAAGGCCAGTTAAGCACAAATCCTTTCAAACAATGTTACTAAAAGACAATGACACTCATAATTTAAGCATAGTATTTGCACCTAAATTGAAACTACCATAAAAAATTCTATTGTTTTACTTCTGTGTAAGTACTAACTCCAAAGTCTGAAAGAAAAAGTAACCTTACAGTCATGCTGTTCAATGTAGCTACTAGCCATGCTGCTGTTTAAATTAGTTGACATTAAATAAAATGTAAAATTTATTCGTCAGTTGCACTAGTCACATTTTAAGTGTTCACTAGCCATGTGACTACTGGCTACTGAATTGGACAGTATGGGTATAGGACATTTCTGTCATCACAGGAAGTTCTATTGGACAGCATTGTCTTATAAGGCTCCACTTCAAAGGATTCTTATCAATATGCACAGTTATTTCTTTAAAAAAGGCTTGTTTCCTAGCAACTGAGACACTGGGGCAATGCTTTGCATTATCTCATTATCATGGTCTGTTAGAAAGACACAGACATGTTCTGCTGGGGGGACCACCTCTCTTCTGACATGAAATTTTTGTGAAGGGTTTATGTAATAGACATGGGACAATGTGTCAGATGATTGAAACTATGATTTTCCAGAAGATGTAACAATGTAAAATTCAAATAGGTAACTCCTGTAAGGCATTTCTGATCTAAGTCAAGTGTGTATTGTTAAATATTAATTCCATTAAAGTATGTCAGCAGGGAATTAAGATATGTGACCCAAATATATTTCTTTTTAGTAGCTGAGTGTAATAGAGAAGTAGTGCTCAGTGCATCTCAACTGAAGAAGAGCTGGGATGAAGGGAAGAGAGGAGGTTCAGAATATTTGGAAAAGATTCTCCATGTTATTTTAATGTACCCAATCCAGGTAAGTATAGTGTAGAGATATGGAAAGGATAATTGATTTACCTTTCACTACTGTATGATTGTGGGGAGGGAGAAAGGCTGTGATTTTTAAAAGTCCCTCCCTTTAGAAATTTTGATTAAGTACAACTTTGAGTGGGGCTTAGATATTCACTCTATTCTCTGTTGCTGTCTTTCCTTTCAATGACCTACCTGTCTATCCCTCCCCACCTGGTTATTTAGGATGATCAACTGGCTTTAGAACAATGACCTTAGGCAATTGTTCCTAGTATCAAGAGTCTCTAGCAAACTTTTGCAGGCTGCATATCACAATCTATTCTTGGCTGCATTTTTTTGATCAGTGCCTGAAGTGATGATATGTGTGCTTACTAATCAAAGCAAGTGTCTCATGCACAGAGGATGCATTACCCAGAGAGGACACTCAACTGAAGAAATTCAGGAACCCATTTACTACTGTTGCTCAGGCTGAAAGGCACCCCACTTCCACAGAAAGTTTCGCTATGACTGTGTGAGCAGGGCTAAAAATGTTCCCCTAAAGGACCTATCCAAGCCATTGGATAACTCTTCATGTAGAGAACCTAGAGTTTGGTAATAGAGCTTTGTCCATTTTTGTTAATGTTAGAAAGCCATTACTAGCCATAGGGAAACCTATCAGGCTATCAGAATGACACCTTGCTCTGCTCATAGGTACAAAACTTCAACACTCTTCCGCCTTACCCCTATTTAAGTCTCAAACTTTCACATCACGTTTTCAAGATACGTTAGCCCTGAATGGGTTTATGTTTTTCACTTTCATTTTCTCAAGTTGATTTGGAATAGCCTTGCTCCATCCTTTTGTTTTCCTCATTCCTGGTTTCACATTTTCTCCTGGTAGAAATCTTTTCCCCCCGTAATATGTAAAATGTTGATCACTTGGAGTTTTTAAAGAATAAGGTGGAACTCACATCATTGCGTAACCATCCAGAATGTACATTCTTTTTGGTAACATGATGTACAGCATATGACATTAGAACAAAATATCCCACCACCCCCAGAAAATGTCCAACGTTAGCTTCCTCCTCTTTTTAAGGACCTAAGAGCCTGGTGGTTGATGATGGAAGAGATGAAACTGTGAAGAGACTGGAGAAGCTAGTTCATCAATAGTTAAGAATCCATTTCTAAAAGATCTTAGTGAATATTTCTTCTTTGAGTCTACCTATGCCTGGGATGTCAAGAGGTATGAATTTCTCTAAGGTTCAGGGAGCCATTAAGGTTTGTCTTCTCAAGGTATCCAGCTAGAGGGGGACGTGGATCTTAAAGCCATGTAGAATTTAGGCCTAACAGATGCATTAATACCTTGAAAATAAGGCAGGAAAGAATGTAGAAAGAACCCTAGAGTGGCCTGCTGAAGACTGCATCATCCATGAGTAAATATTGAGTGTCTGTTATGGGCCAGGTCCTGTGTGGTACAATGTGTTGGTGTAACATGAGAAAAAATATGTATCTGGTCTTTGTCCCAGTTTCCGGTACAGAGCTCCTAAAACCTTTGGAAATTCCTGAGTGATAGAGTGTCTTTTGCATGCTAATGAGGTGACGAAAGAGGGCAGTGCTTAGATAGCTTCAGGA